TATCGCTAGAATCATTACAACTTAGTAAGTTCAATCCTCACTGGGTAGCCCATGCTTTTTGGCTTTGTGCCACATCTAAGCTGCGCTTAGAAAATCATTTTAGGGTACCTCAGTGTGGTGTAATGGTTACCAAGCTTGTCTCGCTAAAACAGTTACGACTGAATAGTGAGTTCGATTCTCACTAGGTGCCCCGTATTTTCGGCCTTGTGCCACACCTAAGCTACGCTTGGAAAATCATTATATATGTATGGTCGTCTCAGAGTCATTTCAGTAAAATGATAACTATTATTTAAACCCAAAGATCAGATTATTTTTTAAAAAATGTGGGACGTAAAATATTGTTCCTTTCTTCGTTTAATATTAGGATTTAGTAGAAAACCTCCGATGCAATTTCAATTAAAAATAAACATATACATGCCACAAACAATTACAATTTTGATGAGATTGGCATACCATCGCCACAAGCCGTATTTAACCACAAACAACATTCTGGTACAGAATTTCGTAAAAGGTAAGTGTTTAACCGAAACGGCATAGTAAAATAATAACTTGTGACTAAAATAGTTATCTAAAGCAGGGCACGGCTACCTATGGCACGCGTGCCACATGTGGCACGCCAAGCAATTTCCAATGGCACGCAGCCGCAAATAACATCAATAAGTCCGAATCAATGACTACTACAACACAAAGATATTTAGCTGTTTCAATTTTAATATATACTAAACTATATATACTATATTTTACTCTATAAAATATATTGACGAACAGGTATATTGATCTTGTATAAAAATATCTATGCTGTTGGCACACTGAATGATTTTAAAGTCGGCACATAGTAAAAGATTTGCTGATTCCCAATCTATCACTTGTGCTGACAGAAAACTTTGCTGATTTTCCAGGCAAAATGGAAAATTAGCGTAACATAATCTTCTTTGGTCTTGCGCCATACTAAGAAAATCTGATCGAATCTCGATTGTATAAAACGGAAATTTAAATCAATTTTGTTTTATACGTCATTTGCATTTATTTAGCCATCAAATTCTGATTAAAATCGATTTAAATTATTAATTCCCTTGGATCCAATGTTCGTTGCTGACAGCAGTATTCTAGATGATTACTTTTCAATAGGAATAGAATGTGGGTCTTGCTTAGTTGTTGTAGTTGTTCAAATTTATCGTGTTTTTACATTATAGATTGCTGGCATTAAAACTAATCATCTTTGTACAGCTTCACATGGTTGAGTTTCGAATTCAAAATTGTCTTTCTGTCAGATTGCCTGCCAACCACGGCTAGCGAGATCAGTCTCTCCTCCTATTTAAGTCCATAGCTGGTTAGTCGAGAAAAGAGATGAATTCATAAATTTTTCTGTAAGCGATCTGGGATTGCAAAGGAAATATTTGCCGCAGTTTATTTCCACAACTCGAACATCGGGGACAGAAAGAAATGCCGAAAACTAGATTCGCAGGTACTATCTCACAAATCACGTAACCAGTCAGAAAAATAACCCACTCTCCGACGAACGCGGTGGCCAAAATACACAAATTTTGTCCCCTGATTCGAGAACACCAACAACTTTTATCGGCCGAGCATTTTTTCCATTAGTCGACAGCTGGGAGAGGACGCCCAATTTTTGCATATCAGAATACTTTTATAGCGACTCCTGCGACGGACTTTTTTTTTTTTTTTTTTTAATTTAAACATTCTGTCTTCAGCATGTCATGCGGAATACTCCCCCCGCTTTTTTTTTTGATAAGTAATTTACTTTTTCGCCACATTTTCCGTCGTAGGATACACGCGATGCGCTGTCGCTTGGTTTGACGAGGTAAGTCGCTGTTTTCTTCGCTATATTTTCTTAAGAGTGTCCGTGCGAAAGTGAATGCAACGAACCCGGTTTACTGATTTCTCGATCTGACTCATTAACCATTACGGTATCTGCGCAACAATCAAACAGGTGGCAGGATATTCGACCCCCCCCCATGCAGAAGCACTCTTTTGTACAAAGAGATGTTGCGTTGATATGCTGGGGCGCCAGAAGAACAAACATGAACTAGGACCTTGTATGGGTGTTATATAAGAGGATACTGTGGATACTATACACGGAACATGAGCAAGGACGACGTTTCTTCCTTCTATGTCCGGTGTCTCTTCAGGTCGTGTTCATAGTTCGTCACTGTCCTTTATAGCTCTTAATAAATTGTGTCTTGTCCCTATCTTGTCTAATTCCTGTTCTGCCAAACATTTACACAACCATGTAGGCCATGCGGTATTTACTCTGTCCCCCCACTAGGACGAGATTTGATCCAACGTCTATTTTTAGGTGGGGACCCGAGCATGTACACCCGGGACAGGAACAAAATTTCCCTTCAGCCCCCGCAATAATCGGTTGCGCTGGTCTCGGTGCGAGCACCAATCCCTCCCTCTGGTGCCATGGGAGGGCGCGGCCTCGGGCAGCTGTGCCCCAGGGCTGAGCACCTCTTCAGTATTATTTTCCTCAGTTGCCCCTCTGTCCTTTGGCAGAGAAGCCCCTGAACGCACTCTGCCCAAAGACAGAGACGCAACTGAGAGATGATAAGTAGACGTGTACTCACTTAAAAAGAGTAATTTACACTTAGGTCGACTTTTCTCTGTCCCTCTTACCTTTAATATGTCCTGTCAGTGTCAAGTTTTCTAAGCCTTCTTTCCTCATTATGTACCTCATCAGTTTTAACTGTCGCGTTCTGGTTCTAAGTATAAGTGTCCTCTTTGTTTCTATTTTCTCTAAAACTTCGTCATTGCTCAATTGATCGGTCTATGATATTCTCAGCATCCTTCTGTAGAACCATATTTTTCTTGCTTCAAGTCTCTTCTTCATCTGAGAAGCGATTGTCCGACATTTACTGCCATGTAGGAGGACCGATATTACATAACAGCTAAGTACACGTTTTGTTTCTAACGCAATTTTCTATTTTATTAATGCTTTGCTTAGCTTTTGGAAGGCATCTTCCGCTATTCCTTCGGATTTCGGTGTCTCATTTTCCGGTCTCTGTTAGAACATTTTATAGATATTTAAATTTTTGTATTTGCTTTATTTTGGCCTCTCCAATTTGAAATTCGCATGTAGGGCCTGTCTTTTTGTTGGCAACCATACATTCTAATCTTCTTATAAGTACTCTTTAGTCCTTCTCAGAACCAGAAGGAAACAGGTGAATATTCTGGGACACATAACAAGGAAAGAAGGCTTAGAGAATTTGCAACTCGTGGGGAGCGCTATACGTATGCATCAAAAACAAAAACTGTTGTCCCCCCCCCACCGCGACCAATGTTACGCTGGTCATGATATTATACAGATTCCCATTTCTTATTGCAATTAGGAAGGTGCTGCTCCCGGGCTGGAATCCCCGGGGCTGAGTAACATTTCCCACATAAAATAGAAAGAAACGTAGCTCCACTTACAGCACAAGAGCAATAACCACGTCTCAGTAAATCCTCATCGCAAGCTTGTCTCGCTAGAGCAATTACGACTGAGTAGTGAGTTCGATCCTCACTGGGTGCCTCATACTTTAGGCCTTGTGCCTCATCTAGGTTAGTCTTAAAAAACACTAGGGCAATTCGACGAGATGTAATGGTTAGCAAGCTTGTCTCGCTAGAGCAATTACGACTGAGTAGTGAGTTCGATCCTCACTGGGTGCCTCATACTTTAGGCCTTGTGCCTCATCTAGGTTAGTCTTAAAAAACACTAGGCAATTCGACGAGATGTAATGGTTAGCAAGCTTGTCTCGCTAGAGCAATTACGACTGAGTAGTGAGTTCGATCCTCACTGGGTGCCTCATACTTTTTTAGGCCTTGTGCCTCATCTAGGTTAGTCTTAAAAACACTAGGGCAATTCGACGAGATGTAATGGTTAGCAAGCTTGTCTCGCTAGAGCAATTACGACTGAGTAGTGAGTTCGATCCTCACTGGGTGCCCTATACTTTAGGCCTTGTGTCACATCTAAGGTTTGCTTAGAAAATCGCCATGAATTATCAATCGTCCATATTCACAAACTGATGCACAAAGCATCAAAGAAGAAGTGAGTTCCCATCTTTCCAGGTGGAATGGTTTTAAGAGATCTTCAAGCGACAAGATAGATATTAGGAAACTTTCTTTTTTCACCCTGAGCAAAGTGAGAGTGCCACTAGCCCACCGGGGGTTTTTCTGTAACCCCGTGTGGACTAGTGGCCCTCTATGTGTGAAAGTGAGAGAAAGACTTGGTATAGGGTGGGTTGACGAAAAGATAAAATATGAACGAGGGTCAAGTCAACAGAAGATGGTGATTGACGTTGCATTTAAATTTTTGAAGATTGTAGTTATCAGTGAAGCAACTAAGAGGAAGGGAGTTCCACTGTTTGGAAGGGTGAAAAAAGAAACTTTTAGAGCAGAAGTAGCTGTTGTATTTAGATATTTCAACAGTAAAAGGATGTTACCGAGATGTCAATCTAGTAGCACGCTTAAATTCAAGAAGCCGGGGCACCAGGGAATAAAAGCTCATTAAAGCAGTCGCCATGAAAATATTTAAAGAAAAGACAGAGGGAAGCCACATCACGCCTGTGAGAAAGTGACTGAAGCCCAGATGCCAAGTGAAGACATTCTAGAATCAGTCTGTTCAAATTCTTCACAAGATTTAAACGTAAAAACCTAGATTTCGAACGGTGATTTTCAAGGTAAGCAGGCCCTACTCACTTGGAAGACTGACAAAACTCAATCATGTAAATCCATTTTCGTAATCACTTAGTAAATATTATCAATGTCCTTTCATCCATCTTCGGAAGCAAACAAAATCCTGGTTCTACGTCGATGGTGATAAGAATATAATCCCTGGTATCCGAAAGAGCACTATTTAGATTAACTGGTTCACTCATAAAGAAATAAAACAAATAAAGGGAGATAATTTTTGTAGAGTAGCATTCTTTAGGCCTCCCTAGAGGTTCAGGATATGTTACAGATTTATTGACATTAGCTTTATAACGTACGGAAATACTTTTTACGGCCATATCACGTTGAAACTACCCGTTCCCGTATAATAGCAGAAGTTAAACAACGTCGAGTTTGGTCAGTACCTAAATGGGTCACCGCTTTGGATGTGCGGGTGGTGAAATAGATAATGGCTTGGAATTGTTAATCGCAATATCGAGTTCCAGTATCGGTTGGGTTCGTTACGTGCAAATATCCTTGGAAAAGGTATAAATCCACCTGTCCTCTCCCCAGCTACGGGTTAATTAGCAAGACTTATATCACATTTTCTGGCTTTCAATAAGCTATAAAAGGCCGTAGAAAACGAATTAATCATTTTTTGAGAGGAGCGATTACAAAAAGATTCCTTTCAACTAAATATTTTTAAGAACAAAATTTCGCATAGATTTATAAACTTATTCTTTATTTAAGAAAAAAATAATGATTAATCTCAAATGTTTATGCATGTGCTTCGAAAAAAATCCCATAAAAAGGACACATGGCACAGTGGATAAAGGCGTTGGTTAGATCCAGTGACAGGATCCAAAGAGTGTGAGTTCAATACCTGGTTAAGGCAGTGGAGAACTTTCATAGGGAAATTAACAGGAGATAATTGACATCCATTAAACATGGTACGTGGAACTAGAACAGTCTACCCCAGTGTGCGAAATAAAGGGTTCATTTCGACATTTCAACCACCTGAAGAAGGCCGGAGCGTACAACAGCCGAAACGTTGTAATAAATATGGCGACAAAGATGATGACAATAGTCTGAATAATGTAAACAATGTGATTTACTTTAACCAGAGTTTAATCATATAAAGAAACTTTCTTGCCAAACGTCGTTACAAGAAAAATCAATCTCGTTGCAAAGTAAACGGGACTCGGACATTTGACTGTTGGGCATTTAACCGAATAAACATTTAGCCGAAAATGTAGTGGCGTACTTACATGTATTTCACACTCTTTATCGAAATGTGCTACATATATTTATATCTATTTACTGTATTAATTTATAATTTTTCGTTTTTAAAAAAAAATCTATTCTGTATATATATTATATCTTACTTCAAATATTACTGTAAGATGATAAGTATTTTGAGAAAAAGCACATTTTACTACAGCAAAAATCTTAAGCTTTTACGATATGAAAAATTCAATTTCGCTTTTAATGATTATTATCTGAATGGGATGAACAAACTTTTACCTTACTGTTAAATACGAATTTAAATAATTAAGCGCTACTTTTTACCCGAATACACTAAAATATTTTTTTAAAATACCAATTTTAATAAACATATAGAAATAAGAAAACTTAAATTTAGATTTAGTAATTTAATCACATGAAATTCAGTAGTAATTATTAGTCCTATTCTACCTTATAATACTGCTAATTAAAATATTTAAAGTATTGATTGTTACTATTTTCACTTGTACTTTTTCGGTGAAATGTCCGTTCGGCTAAATGTCCGTTCGCCCAAATGTCTGGCCATGAATTAAACACATCCCAATCACGCTGCTTTCGCCGATAATTTTCAAATCCGACCATTACAGCTAAAACTCGCCATACCACGTACACAAGATCGGCTCATCCACAATTCCTTCGTGTTTCAGACGGAAGTTTCATTCGGACTGCTTCTTCCCAAGAATCGCTGTTTTGTGAAACTCTCGAAGAGAGGCTTTCCCGATTACCGCAATCTTAACCCAGTCCAGAGTTAACCTTTACCTATCTTACATATCCTCATAAACTTACCTCCTCCTCTTAGACCCATATAAAAACCTTATTGAATAACCCCCTACCTCCAGTGTCTCTTGAGCCTTGTATTGAGTAAACAATAGCGTAAAAATACAATTTTTATCCTTTTAGAAGATGGGTTCTGTTTATAAAAAAATGTAAAATCACACGCTGACTGTTTGTAGAGTTATCTGTACTTAACTGCTTTTCGTGCAGACATAAACATTTTTTACGAAAATATTTTATAAAATTGAAAATTTTTAATTAAAGAATGAAAATTTGTATAAACTTTCTTCTTCATTTAAGATAAATAATAATAATAATACTTTGAATAGCATATCAAAGGAAAATGTGAATTTTTTTCAAGTGTTGAACACTAGGCCTTCATGAAGTTCCTGCTTTTGCAGAAGAAATCTGTGAGTGTAAGAGTGGGTTTAGTTTGTTTTGTTTTACGGCATATCAACATCTCAATGGGTTATTTAATGCCGACAACATTTTTATTGCTGGCAATATATTTTTTTCTTCAAAAATGTATTGCTGGTAATAATTTTCTCTTCAAAAATTCATTGTTGGTAATCATTTTTTACGAATAGTATTCAAACCTATTTTTTACGCTTTCATATTGTTTGTCCCCAGTTCGGGGGTTAACTGTTTGCCCATAGCTGGGACCCTAACAGGTGCTACCACCCCGGGTTAGGGTAGGCAGGGAACACCAGCAATTAAGAGGTGGTTCCACGCACTTCAAAACCTCCTGAACAGAGGCCTTGCTGTCGGACGTAGTATATCGCCTTACACAGGACGCAGATGCAGTTTATCCACTTACCCTGGACGTGGATGTAGTTTATCGTCTTACCCAGGACGCGGATGTAGTTTATCGCCTTACACAGGACGCGGATGCAGTTTATCGCCTTACCCTGGACGTGGATGTAGTTTATCGCCATACCTTGGACGTGGATATAGTTTATCATCTTACCCAGGACGCGGATGTAGTTTATCGCCTTACCCAGGACGCGGATGCAGTTTATCGTCTTACCCTGGACGTGGATGTAGTTGATCGCCTTACCCAGGACGTGGATGTAGTTTATCCCCTTACCCTGGACGTGGATGTAGTTTATCGTCTTACCCAGGATGAGGATGTACTTTATCGTCTTCCTCAGGACGCGGATGTAGTTTATCCCCTTACCCTGGACGCGGGTATAGTTTATCGTCTTACCCAGGACGCGGATGTAGTTTATCGCCTTACACAGGACGCGGATGCAGTTTATCGCCTTACCCTGGACGTGGATGTAGTTTATCGCCATACCTTGGACGTGGTGGATATAGTTTATTTACCCAGGACGCGGATGCGGTTTATCGTCTTACCTGGACGTGGAGGACAGGACGTGGATGTAGTTTATCCTTACCCTGGACGTGGATGTAGTTTATCGTCTTACCCAGGATGAGGATGTACTTTATCGTCTTCCTCGGGACGCGGATGTGGTTTATCTCGCCACCCTGGACGCGGATGTAGTTTATCCCTTACCCTGGACGTGGATGAGTTTTCGCCTTACCCAGGACGTGGATGTGGTTTATCCCTTACCCTGGACGTGGATGTAGTTTATCCCCTTACCCTGGACGTTTATCCCCTTACCCTGGATGAGGATGTACTTTATCGTCTTCCTCAGGACGCGGATGTAGTTTATCCCCTTACCCTGGACGCGCATGTAGTTTATCGTCTTACCCAGGAAGCGGATGTAGTTTATCGCCTTACACAGGACGCGGATGCAGTTTATCGTCTTACCCAGGACGCGGATGTAGTTTATCGCCTTGCACAGGACGCGGATGCAGTTTGTCGTCTTACCCTGGACGCGGATGCAGTTTATCATCTTACCCTGGACGCGGATGTAATTTATCCCCTTACCCCTGGACGCAGATGTAGTTTATCGCCTTACCCAGAACGCGCATGTAGTTTATCCCCTTACCCAGGACGCGGATGTAGTTTATCGTCTTAACCTGGACGCGGATGTAATTTATCGTCATACCCAGAACTACAGTGTAAGAGGCAAACATTTGGTGACGAGTGCTGTCATACGCAACTGTGTAGATGTGATATGTAAACTCCCAGCCTTGAGATTTCGCGGTCGAAGATGCAGTACAATGTGGGAGAAAGTCAATGGTGTCGACTGGAATTGTCGATGATATTCAGAACCATTTTTTTTTTTTTTTACCGAGCGATAAATCTCAGCCTCAAAAATTGTGACACTAGAAATATCCAGGATACATATTGGTCTTATAATGCATGAGCAGTTGTGTATGCAGAAGCTGTCAGCCAATTGGACGTAAAAAAATACTGGCCAAAATTGTTATCAGGTGGACGGGATACAATTACGATTTGCCATTAGACTGGTTCGCTCCTGAAAAACAGTGAAATACATTTTTTAGATTCAGCCAATTAAGTGCCATAAATGATGAATGCTTTTACGATCATGTCTCTCCACAACTTCCTCACTTAAATCACTGTTGACTCTTTCAGTTAACTGCCATACGTGATACACGTTTGGGCGATCAAATTTATTTCGATTCATGACTGATTAGGCAGAAGATATTCCCGCAGTAGGCTGTCGTTTCTTTCTGCGGTAGACTGGTTGCCAACCAATTCTATATAAACACAGTCTATCCTACTATCCAATCCATAGCTGGGGAGGGGGAATATATTATTTATTCGTATCTTTCCCAAGGGCTATTTGCGCTTAAGTGAATATAACGAACCCAACTGGAATTCGAACTCGGCTCTCCGACTTCTCATTCCGTTACACCACAGCCTTTTGTAGAATATCAATCTTTAAACCTTCCATAGGGCGTAGCATTTGTAAGAATAAAAAAAAATCGATATTTTTAAAAGTCATTTTAGAAGGTGGGTCCTGTTCATAATATTGGTGCAGTGTAATCGGGGCTGAGCTGTTCTGGGAATGAAAACAAACTTCCTTTTTACAGAAAGATTTCTTTTAAATTAAAAAAATAAATGGATATATGCATTAAAGATTAAAAATTTACAAAATTAAAAGTATATATCCGTTTATTCTTCATTATTCTTGTCATTGTTGATCCGGAGACTAGAGCAGTTTTGAGGAACAACTTATCACCACTATAGCTCGAAGACTAACTAGTAGTCCATGCTCTGGCAGCGATTGGGTTATCCACAACCGATGAAATTCAAGACCGAAAACACAGAAGTAAACGTCATGGCCATGATTTTATTTTAATTTATAAAGAAGGTATTTTGATGACTGACTATCCTGAAAAATGTGCAAACAGTTAATTCAGAATATTAGTCTAACTTGCTCTTCGGATTAAAGGCGGCGTTGAAAGAAAATGGGTGCGGAAAGGTGTTCTATTTTTGTAGGATAAATATACGTGTTCCCAGGGCTGGTAAGATGGTGGCTTTTTTTCGAAATAGTTGTGGTCTGAGTGCATAGACCATACAACCCACTCATCAAATCTTACTCATCTAATTCCTGTTCTTAATTTAAACGAAGGACATTTACGAATAATTCAGCTGTTAATAGTTGCATTAATTTATTGATTCGTTTTTACGGATTATCAATCCTCTGCAGGTTATTTAAAGCCAGAAAATATTTTTAGAGTGTAAAATTTTTTGAGATAATAATGATTCAGGGATACATATCTTAAAAATTTACCCATACCTTGGGATAAGGTTGTAGAAGAGTTGGATATAAAGTGGGGGATCAATTTTATATTACAATCAGTATATGAACTGATCCTTCATTTTGTAGACATGGTAGTTACTATAAATTCATATCCTAAATAAAGTAAATGAATCTAAAAGGCATACCCGGGTAGTTAATCCGTATTTCATTGATTAACTGATTTGTTTTTTACGGCTTATCAACCCCTTTCAGGTTATTTAAAGTCAGAAAATAGCTTTAGATTGAAAGATTTTTTTTTGAGATAATAATGATTTAGTGATACAAATCTTACTAATTAACCTCTAGCTGGAGGGGAGAAGATATGAATTCTTACCTTTCCCAAGTTGCGTGTAAGTGAATATAACGAACCCAACTGGAATTGGAACTTGGCTCTCCGATTAACAATTCTGAGCCATTATCCATTACACCACCCGCATCTCTTAACATACAGCGTCTGGTATTTCCAAGTGGTTACCCATCTAAGTAGTGACCAGACTCTACGTTGTTTAACTTTGGTGATCGTACGGAACCGTTGTTTCAACGTGATATGGCCTTAGGCCAGAATATTAGATATGGTATATTAAATAGAACACACTCTATTATCCAATGGCTATAAATAGATTTTTTGTGGGGAACGGTTAAGGAAACTTGAGAAATGTCCCAAGAGTGTTGTACTGTGGGGTGGGGGGGATATGTGGGATCGCATCTACACTACAATTCAAAAAGTAGTTGTTTTGTAAATTAAACAAGAGAAAATTATTACACAGGGTTTAAAAAAAAAAGTTAGGCATGATTTTTATTAGAAATTTTATTATGAAAAAAAAAAAATCATAATTAAATTTTGCTCTCGTCAAAATATCCTCCTTTAGCCTTGATTACTGCAGCACAAATTTTGGGCATTCATTGCAAAAGTTTCTCAAAGTATAAGTTTGATAATTGATTCCATTCTTTTTTCAATGATTCTAAGAGCTCTTTTTCATTTTTTTTTCACTCTTCTGTCATGTTTATCCCATTCTAATTCTGCGGTTGGCTTCAGACTTTTGAACTGTACGTTTTAAGGATCCTAGTTATTACCTACTTAATTGGACCGAGGACTTTTCAGCATCTCCACTCGTAATACCTCATCAATAAGTTAAGCATAAAAGTGAACATCATATGGAGCTTTTAATTAAGAAAGAAATAATGTTAGGAATAAGAATATATATGTGAAGAGAAAACTTTTCCCTTGAATCTTTAAAAACAGGCATTTTAAGAGTATATAAAGATTGAAGTTTATAAGCAGTAAATTCGACCTTGCCTAACGAACGCTCCTTTGTGGCCGATTGGTAAGGCACGTCATCGTAAATGACGGTTCCGTATAGGATGCAGGTTCGAATCCTGTCAAAGGACGAATATTTTCTATGAAAATTTCTCGGACATTCAGGCCGGTAAATGTTATTTAATACTGTTTATTATAAACAGAGCATTTACTTAAATACTTGTATCTATAAAAAAAGAACGTTAAACATAAAAATGTCTTTAATAAATATATATATATATATATATATAACAAAGAGTGGGCAAGAGCGTAAAATAGATCTCGAAAAAATGTAGCAAAGGTTACTCAGAAAAATTTACGGTCTTTTGAAAAGTACAGATTTATCCCTTGTTTCCTGTTTAGGTTAGGTTTCTGATTCTTTTTCATTCACTTTCACTCCCAATAGCCCCTTGTGTCTTAGTGACATTATCACTTTGTTTGGGCTTAATTGATTAAGAAAAAATTATAACCAATTATGGACCCTCGAACTTCAGAGCCAATAGAGATTTTAAAAAAATATGCACAACGACTAAAAATGGGAAGAAAAACATTACTATCTGGGAATCAACAGTATAAATTACAGGCAGATTATTTTTAGAACCAGCAGCCATTCCTTCTGCTCTACAAAAAGGGAAGGCTGATTAGGCTTAATATAAATGGTTTCAGGAATGGTTTCAGCTGATTATGAGGGAACATACCTGGTGAAAGATGAGGCACAAATCTGATTACTAATTAGATGTTCTGTAGTCGCAGAAACGGATATATTCACAAGCGTATGAAAATTTTCACACTCGACGTATCTTAGCTGATACGTATTGATCTATCCTAGTTTGATTAGTTCTGCCAATACATTCAGCATCACTGATGATGACAGATAATGACAGATAGTTGAAATAACATGGCTGTCGAGGTAAAAGATATTTACGGATGGAATTCAGCATAGGTTGGGAAGTGAATGTTTTTAGTCGTTGTACACATATTTTTTGTCCTCAGTTGATTTTGAGGAGAGTAAAAAAGAAAGGTTCATATATTCTATTTCAGTTTAAGAAGGAGAAAGTGACGCCCCAAATTTCCATCAGCAACTCATAGCATTATAGTGATGCTTAAGCAAATCGAGTTTACATTATTCCCTCTCTAAGTTCTCCACTGCCTTAACTGTGTATTGAACTCACACACTTTGGGTCCTGACACTAGATCTAACCACCGCCTTTATCCACTGTGCCATGTGTTCTTGAGGACATCTGTGTATGAATTTCTGGGTATTATAAACCTAATGTCTTCAGCAACCATTTTTTTTACCTGTATTCATATTGGAGAGGGGAATTGACAGAAGATAATTGATAACTAACATCCATTAAACATGGCACGTGAAACTAGAACAGTCTAACCCAATGAGCGAAATAAAGGGTTAAGTTCGACGTTCCAACCACCTGAAGAAAGCCGTAGCGTACAACGGCCGAAACGTTGTGATAAATATGGCGACAAAGATGAGGACAATAGTCCGAATAATGTAAATAGTGTACATAATACCTCATCTCAGAAATATAGACAGATACGAATCGAGTTACCTGGTGGTCGAATGTTCAATCTCTGTGTTGGGTAGCGAAAAAAAAAAGAGAAAAGAAATCAAAAACTTTTGTTCAGTGGGAAATATTAGTGAAATTAAAAAGACGAATTTGCGAGCTAGAATTAATTAATATGAGACATCTTAAAGCAAGAACCATGGAATGAGAACAATCTAATCATATGGATAGAAAAATGGTTTCGGTTCGAAATTTTCCAGAAAACTTCTAAAAATAATAAATCTCTGAAGAAAGGCGGAGAGTATCACAACTAAGAGGGGGATAGTTATGTGCCATGCGTGATACACGCTTAGGCGATCATGTATCTTTCGATACATGACTGACGAGGCAGATTTTTACCGCAGTAGGTTGCCATTTCTTTCTACTGTAGACAAGTTGCCATCCAGGGCTATAGAACTCGGTCTGTCCCTGCTATTTACCCATAGTTGGGAGAAGAAGAAGAAGATGATTTATATCTTTCTCAAGGGTATTTTACACGTAAGTGAATGTAATGGTTTCAACTGGAAAGTCAGTCAGTCAGTTATGTGCCATTATGTTACACGATTAGGCGATCATGTATCTTTCGATACATGACTGATGAGGCAGATTTTTACCGCAGTAGGTTGCCATTTCTTTCTGCGGTAAACAAGTTGCCATCCAAGACTATATAACCCGGTCTGTCCTGCTATTTGCTCATAATTGGGAGGAGGAGAAGAGGATTCATACCTTTCCCAAGGTTATAGCAAGGTTAAGTAAATGAAATAGGTTCGACTGGAATTCGAACTCGGGATCTTCGATTCCTCAATCCGAGCCGCTGTCCATTTCTCTACCGTGCCTCTAAGAGGAGGACGCTAATGCTATTAATGAGTGTATAATAAAGTTCCAGTGCATTTCACAGAAGTACAAAGGTTTCTAACAATAGCAACGAACAGTTTGAGTATACACGTTCAATGTAACGGTAATATTAGCCGTTTCTTTATAAGGAAACATTCGACATTCATTCGGCTATTCGAGTTTCTCACCTCCCCGGCTTTTGGGCTTAGAGCAAAGTGTTGTATCTGTTCTCTTAATCTAACATGGCAAACTTAATATTAGTTATTTCCTTATAAAGAAACACACGACATTCAATGACCGAGCAGCCAGTGTTAATTTCGGTTGAAATTTATAAAATCTTTCTATTAAAACAATTCTTTTGGGAAAATAAATTTCTCAAGTCCAGTAGTTGTTTCCTGTATTGATGGAGGTTTCCTTCCTAAGCTTATGTTAGGGTAGTGTGGAACGTCAGTATCTTGATTATGTTATTATTTACTCTTCGATTTATATGTGCTATCCTATCTGTTGTTGCTGTTGGAAGTCTTCAAATGATGTGGTTTTTATTATTTGATACAGTTCTTTGTTTGAAGGATGAAAACAATCTAAGTCCGTGGATTGAAAAAGCTGTTTTGTCTGGAAATTTCCCAACAATAAACACCTGAAGAGGGACACAGAGAGTACCACAATAATTATGACGATCACAATTAAGATGAGACGGCTAGTCCGATTAAATCAGCGTATAATAAAGCTCGAAAGTATCTCCCAGAAGTACAATGGTTTCTAACAAAAAAAAAAGAAGCTAATTGGAATATGCAACAAGTATTGCGCATGAGCTGGAGTAGGCCAATAACTTTACGTAGATTAAATTGCAGAAGCTGAAACATTACTATGCTGGTAGACTCTTTGAACCTATGAAACCTACTCGCCCGTAGAACAGCTAAACTTAGACATAACGGGTTTTTTTTCCAGGATGGTTTTATACAAACAGAAACTGGACAGGAATAAACCGGACAAGCCAATGACTTCAAACTTGATATGATGTCCCCATACCAAACATCTGTAAGGGAAAAGTCATTTTGAATCATAGAAAGATTTAGACCTGGTATACCGAAGCGGTCACCCATGTAGGTACTAACCAGACTCGACGTTGCTGAACTTCGGTGAGTGTACGGTAACCGGTATTTCAAAATGAAATGGTCGTAAGCCGCTGTTGAAGTGAAGGCATGAGAAAACAATGTTCAAAGGTGTTACTACTTTGAATAGCATATCAAAGGAAAATGTGAATTTTTTCAAGTGTTGAAAAAAAAAACCCTGTGATCTGGAATTGGAACGAAAGCAGCGATAGTACATATCCTAAATGTTTCATAGAAGTTCTTAAATAACCTCATCAGATCGAGATTTTCATGTGGATATCATGCATGGCCCCAAACCCGTTCATATATATCTAAAAGGTTAGGAAAGAAACCTCCATCAATACTAGAAATTTAGATATCCATAAATATCTAAACGATCAGCTTTATACAACCACTTCCTCATCTCAATGGTGAAAAAAGACTTTGAGCGAATGAAGCCTATGGGTCTTAGTGAAAATCACAGTTCTTTGAATCAGGTAGACTGGCGCTATACAATCACAACAAAGAACACTACCAAATAACAGACGCCAAATCACTTGAGGACTTTCAACAGCGGCAACAACTAAAATGCAAGCCGAAGAGAAAATAATGCAACCCGATGAGAAAATAATGGCTTAATCAAGATGTTGACATTCCACACTACTTCAAACAAAATGTTAGGAAGGAAACTCCCTAGCAATACTTTAATGAGCGATAACAGATACTGGACTTGAGAAACCTATATTTCTGAAAAATGCATTAAGAGAAATATTTTATAAATTTTAACCGAGAGCAACGCCTCCTCCTTTTTGTGGACTGATAAAGTTCCGTTATTAGATAATAATAATAATAATAATAATAATAATAATAATAATAATAATAATATCCTTTTCATTCTAAGGAAATACCATGCATTCATTGACTGAAAGTCAAATTTAAATCCAAATGAGACAGTTTAATTTTTGAGAAACATGCGGAAGAACATCTTGGAAAAGTTGATACTTATAGGAAGTATGATAGAAAAGAATGATAGAACTGTAACAGCAAGTGACTTACCGAATGAATGTGTGAATGAAAGGCAGAGCAGGGACAAGGCCTGAAGGTCAACAGTCAAATTTTGTTTAGGGCTACAAAGACAGGAAGCTGTAGAGAGCCATGATCACACACGTCCATCTGCTTTTTAAAGAACCGCATTTAATTACTCACATCGCTTCGTAACATATTTTGGTAATCACTCCGGAAACGAGTCTTGGAAAATAAGCCATTTTTTTTTTTAAAAAAAAAACAACAACAACAAAAAAAAAAACAGCGACGTACACTTTTGAGAATTTGGATCTGGCGGGTAGACGTATTTGATTTCTTTGGGGTTTATTCGCTAAATGTATTGTTTCTCAACCTTTTGACCTCTGTGGAACCCTTGAAATAGCCTTCCTGCATAAAAATATATGCAGTTATTAATATTTCCTTCTTTAATATTTTTATCGTAGTTCATGTGGTGAACGTAACACATTTTTTCAGATAACTGGTCAAGGAAAAAATACCCCGCTTTTTCTCAAATACCCCCTTGTGCAAATTAATTGAAACAAAACGAATAATTCCGTTAGTATTTACTTTTATTCGTATTTTTCCAATAAAAATCGACCCAGTGCACATGTTAGGACTTCGTATGTCAATTCCACGAAGCCGTTCCTTGCAGATTGACCACAGATTCTCGATTGGAGAAGAGTTTCCAGTCCATTGTATAGTTCTTTGATTTACGCACTGGTAATTCTTGCCAGTGTGTTCGTGCAGCGTTACTATTTTCGTACGTTTCCTTGGAGTAACGCCCATCGCGGACAATGGCCGTAGGACAACTAATCGATATTCGAGACAATAGTGTCTAGGCGTGATAAAAATCTGATGCAATCATGGATGACGCAATATTTTTAAAAGCCAAACAAATTTCATCATACACTCTGAAAACAGATTCATATTACTGCACACCACTGCAAATGACCTAATCTTAGGAAAAATAGAAATTGATTACACCTTGTCACTCCAATGGGTCTAAAACTGACCTATGGCGAAAGAAAGTAAATTAAAGCGGTTATTTCAATTAATTTGCACAAGGGTGTATATTGGCAATGCAAAACAAAACCAAATCACATTGCTTTGTTTATGAGGCCTGACAAGGAAGTTTTCATTCACAAAAGAAATCTGTAAACACGCACGAAAATACAAATAACCAAAATATTATAATTTATAAGGACTTTTCAACAATATACCGTACGTATATAGTAAAATTACGGATATAAAATTAAACAAAAATGACTGAAAATTATATTAACCTATTTCTCACTGTTTCACACGGAACGCCTAGTGACCTCTTGCGGAACACCTAGTGACCTCTTGCGAAAGCCTAGTGACCACTTGCGGAACCGTAGGGTTCCGCGTGTGTGTGTGTGTTTGTGTGTGTGTGTGTGTGTGGAACCGGTTGAGAAACACTGGAATGACCAGAGAAAACGGTGCAACTTTTCTGTGGATCGATCCCTTTGTTAAATTTCCGATACAGTTGATTGGATTACCATTTCTGATCCGGATATAGAGTGTTGAGGAGACGTTAAACCATATCCGGATCCTATCGACACGACCGATTATCTCGGCAAGTCTCCCAATGAACATCGCAGAAAAAGAACGTTTACTTGGTCGCTAGGAACACATCTGATTCGATGCAAATTAAAAATGAAATCAGTCGAAATTGTTGGGATACCAATTATTAATTTATAAAGATTAATCAATACTCGAAACGGATACAATTCTTGTTTGTGGAATCGAAGAGTATCTAGTTTCCAAAAGAAATTTCCCTGGGTACAGGCCTTCATTTATCTACGAGTCGTGTATTAGTTACTCCGAACAATTTCCTGTCCTTTGTAGATTTTGTTGTTAAAGCTATCTCTCCAAAACTCTGTTCCAATAACCATTTACAGATAGGATACGCGCTGAGATCGTGGGATAGGTTACGCGACGAGACCGTGGGATAGGATACTCATTAAAACAATGGGAAAGATTACGGGCAAATATCGTGGTAGAGGTTAGGCACAAAGACCATGGGATAGGTAACGCGCTGAGATCGTGGGACAGCTTAAGCGACGAGGCCGTGAGATAGATTTCGTGCCGACATCGCGAGATAGGTTACGCACTAAAACAATGGGAAAGGTTACACGCTGAGATACGTTATTCGCTCAGGTATTGGGAGAATTACACACTCAGACCATGGGATAGGTTACGTGCTGAGATCGTGGTAGACGTTAGGCACACAGACCATGGGATTGGTAATGGGATGGGAGGTTACGTGAAGAAATCGTGGGGTACGCGAAGAAACGGTATAGATTACGTGCCGAGATCGTGGATAGGTTGTTAATTTTGACGGTCGTCTTCGATTATAGAATCAGAGGGACAGTGAAAATTTCGGCGACAAGAAAGCGTAGTTCAGGACAGTGGATATCTTAGCGCGACTTCCTTCTGTCATCTTCGCCTGACAAGTTGGCACTGGTCATTATAGATAAACAAAAATGGCCGCCTTTATACACGAGATACAATGTTCTGCGGCTTCTGAGTTAATTCTATTGGGGATTTGTTAGTCATTTGACTGGCTCACTAGTTATATTTGTAACGGTAACGCACTAAATCAATGGGAAAGGTTATACGTTATTCGCTCAGATAGAGGTTACACACAATGACCATGGGATAGGTTACGCGGGATCGTGGTAGAGGTTAGGAAAGACCATGGGATAGTAATCACTGGATTAGGACAGCTTACGCGAAGAGATCGTGAGATATCACAGATCGTGAAAGGTTACGCACTAAAACAATTTGAAATGTTACGCTAAGATAAGTTATTCGCTCAGATATTTACACACTGAGACTTTCATCTTCGCTGAGATCTTGGTACAAGTTGGCACTGACATCGTGGGGTACGCGACGAGACCGTGAGATAGATTTGGTGCCGAGATCATGAGATAGGTTACGCACTAAAACAATGTGAAAGGTTACAGAAAAAGTTATTCGCTGAGCTAGAAAATGGCCACCATTGGGTTACGCTGAGATCGAATAGGAACAAAGACCATGGGATTCTGTAATGCACGAGATCGTGGGACGGTTTGTTTAACCGTGAGTTCTTTTGGACATCGTGAGATGGATAAAACAATGGGGAAGGTTAACGCTGAGAGAAAAGTTATTTGAGCTAGATGGCTACACATGGGATGGGTTACGCGCTGAGATCGTGGTAGAGGATAGGAACAAAAAATTGGTAACATAGGACAGTTACGACGAGACCGTAAATGCCGACATCGGGAAAGGTTACGCCCTAAAACAACAGGAAAGGTTAGACGGAGAAAAAGTTATTCGCTGAGCTAGATGGAGAAGTTGCACACAGAGACCATGGGATAGGTTACGCGCTGAGATCGTGGTAGAGGATAGGAACAAAGACCATGGGATTGGTAATGCACTGATCGTGGGAGTTTCGCGAGGAGCGTGAGTTAGATTTCGTGCCGACATCGTGAGATAGGTTCGCCCTAAAACAATGGGAAAGATGAGAAGATTTTCGCTGAGCTAGATGGAGATTGCATACAGAGACCATGGGAGGTTACGCGCTGAGATCGTGGTAGAGGATAAACAAAGACCATTTGGAAACTGAGATCGTGGGACAGTTTACGCGACGAGACCGTGAGTTGAATTTCGTGCCGACATCGTGAGATAGGTTCGCCCTAAAACAACAGGATATTGGGAGAAAAGTTATTCGCAGCTAGATGGAGAAGTTGCATACAGGGATGGGATTACGCGCTGAGATCTTGGTAGAGGTTAGGCACAAAGACCATTTGGTAGGGAATGCACTGACATCGTGGGACAGTTTACGCGACGAGACCGTGAGATAGATTTGGTGCCGAGATCATGAGATAGGTTACGCACTAAAACAATGTGAAAGGTTACACGCTGAGAAAAGTTATTCGCTGAGCTAGATGGAGAAGTTGCATACAGAGACCATGGGATAGGTTACGCGCTGAGATCGTGGTAGAGGATAGGAACAAAGACCATGGGATTGGTAATGCACTGAGATCGTGGGACAGTTTACGCGACGAGACCGTGAGTTAGATTTCGTGCCGACATCGTGAGATAGGTTACGCCCTAAAACAATGGGAAAGGTTAGACGCTGAGAAAAGTTATTCGCTGAGCTAGATGGAGAAGTTGCATACAGAGACCATGGGATAGGTTACGCTCTGAGATCGTGGAACAGGATGCGCAGTCAGGTGTTGGGAGACGCGCTGAGACCATAGGAGGATACGCGCTGAGATCGTGGAACAGGATGCGCAGTCAGGTGTTGGGATAGGCTACGCGCTGAGACCATGGGATAGATTACGCGCTGAGATCGTGGAACAGGATGCGCAGTCAGGTGTTGGGGATAGGCTACGCGCTGAGACCATAGGATAGATTACGCTGAGATCGTGGAACAGGATGCGCAGTCAGGTGTTGGGATAGGCTACGCGTTAGGATAGATTACGCGCTGAGATCGTGGAACAGGATGCGCAGTCAGGTGTTGAGATAGGTACGCGCTGAGACCATGGGATAGATTAACAATCGTGGAACAGGATGCGCAGTCAGGTGTTGGGATAGGCTACGCGCTGAGACCATAGGATTATTACGCGCTGAGATCGTGGAACAGGATGCGCAGTCAGGTGTTGGGATAGGCTACGCGCTGAGACCATAGGATAGATTACGCGCTGAGATCGTGGAACAGGATGCGCAGTCAGGTGTTGGGATAGGCTACGCGCTGAGACCATAGGATAGATTACGCGCTGAGATCGTGGAACAGGATGCGCAGTCAGGTGTTGGGATAGGCTACGCGCTGAGACCATAGGATAGATTACGCGCTGAGATCGTGGAAGCGGTTACGCACGGAGACCATGGGATATGTTACGGGCTGAGATCGTAGGATAGCCTACGCACTGAGATCATGGGATAAATTACGCGTTGCGATCGTGGGCTAGGTCACGCGCCGGGATCTTGGGATAGCCTACGCGCTGATATCGTGCGATAGTTTTCGCGCTGAGACCGTGGGTTAGGTTACGCGTTGTTTTCTTCTATCTCTCTTGCCTGCAGTACTATCAAATTTTCTATGCCTTCTTTCCTCATAATGTGCCCTATAAATTTCTACTGTCTCTTCCTGATGTTAAGTATACGTGTCTTTTTTCTTTTCATTTTCTTTAAAAGTTATTCGCTGCTCACTTGTTTAGTCCATGGTATTCTCATCATCTTTCTGTGGAACAACATTTCTCTTGCCTCATCTCTTCTTCATCTGTGAGGAACTTGTCCAGCATTCAATGCTATATTACACAGTAGCTGAGCACTCATTTGTTTTCTAGCTATCGAGATGTTCCTGTTTCTTAATCCTTTGCTTAACTTTTGGAAGGCATCTGTCGCTATCCAAAACTTGGATTTCTGTGCCTGTCTCTTTCTGATTTTAATCACGTGTCTTCTTTGTTTCCATTTTTCTATAAAATTTCTCGTTGCTCACATGTTCTGTCCATGGCATCCTCAGCAGCTTCCTGTAGAACAGTTTCCTCATGCCTTCACTTCAACAGCGGCTCACAACCATATCATTTTGAAATACCGGTTGCCGTACACTCATCGAAGTTAAGCAACATCGAGTTTGGTCAGTACCTAGATGGGTGACCCCTTTGGTATACCAGGGTATGTGGGTGGTACAATGGATAATGGCTCGGAATTGTTAACCGGTGAGCTGAGTTCCAATTCCAGTCAGGTTCGTTATATTTACTGTTGGGAAAGGTATGAACCCACCTCTTCTCCCTCAGCTATGGGTTAATTAATAAAACTTGTATTAATAAATCATTATTATCGAAAAAAAAACTAATTACAATCTAAAAATATTTTCTGGCTTTAAATAACCTGTAATGGGATGATAGGAAACAGAAAACGAATCAATCTTCATCTGTGAGGAAATTATTCAGCATTCATTGTCATACAGGAGGACTGATATTATGTAGCAGTTTAACACTCTTCACTTGGCTGAATAGAATTAAAATAGCCCGGGGTGACGGGTGATCAAATCCATATTTGTCTTCCCTCTCTTCTGTCAGGATTGTCTTACCTAAATTATTTTCGACTTCCTCTGAGGTCATGACGAGGAAACTGTCTCCATGTTTACCCAAAACGTTTATTGTAACAGACCTAGTGTTTTAAGGTGTGCAGGTTTTAATATGATATCGGATTTGGGTCATAAGCATTTCATTGTGTCAATATAGATACGCGTATGGTTAAATATATGCTGACTGGATAAAGGAAATTGAATACTTCTTTACTGAAAGAAAGAAAGACTAATGTTATATAGAGAACTGTGGTTGTGAATAAATAGTGGGGGTTATTTTAAAAAGTAGGATAAGACTTTGCGCTACAAATGTTTTAACCTCGATTGACTAGCGTTAAAGAAGACTTTAAATGGGAGATATTGGAGAAGCAGTCGTTTCTCGAGTAGAACCTGCCTCCTTTTTTATAATAAAAGAACCAAAGTTTAATCAAAGAGAATGTTTTTCAAGGCAATGAACATGGCGTCTTCATGGAGGAGACTATTTGGCGAACTTTCCTTATATTAAGGTGACCGAAGCGATCAGGTTCAAGATAATGCTAATGATAATATTAGCTGTTTCCGTATAAAAAAAACAGTCGAATTTCTTTGACCGAACAGCCAGTAATACTCGAGTTACGCTTTTCTTCACTTCCTGGTCAGCAGCTGGGATCAAAGTGTAGTATATGTTCACCTAATTTCTAATGGCATTGATAATATTGACCGTTTCCTTATATTGAAACAGACGGCATTCATTATCCGAACAGCCGGTACTACTCGTGTAACGCTTTTCTTCACTGCCTGGTCAGCAACTGGGATTAAAGTGTAGTATCTGTTCTCCTAATTTCTAATGGCATTGATAATATTGACCGTTTCCTTATATTGAAACAGACGGCATTCATTATCCGAACAGCCGGTACTACTCGTGTAACGCTTTTCTTCACTGACTGGTCAGCAACTGGGATTAAATTGTAGTATCTGTTCTCCTAATTTCTAATGGCATTGACCGTTTCCTTATAATGAAACAGACGGCATTCATTATCCGAGCAGCTGGTATTACTCGAGTTAGGCGATCGGGGAAGCATCCTCTTGGGAGTCGGTTCCACAACCGAACATTTACCATGGAAATAGCAATAAAGTAGCAATAATCTGACGAAGTTATGTCTGTTGGAAAGATATTGCAGAGCAGGGAATGAATATCCCTCCATGAGACTTAAGAAAGGCATGAATTGAGTTATTCTCCCCCACTTTAGTTATGGGTTAAATCGTTAAGAAGACTGCGATTTCTTGCCTTGGTTGGTAACTAGCATAAGTCAAGAACGACTAAAGTCAAAACCGGGTTTTAACAGAAACAAATAATCTGGTACCAAAATCTGAAGACGCATTGAAATAGCAAATGAAAGATGCCATCCAAAAGTTTCTTATGACAAATAGTGTCAAGGTAGTTAAACTTCTTAAATGAAACCCTGGATATGAAAGATGGCTTCCAAAAGCAAAGTAAAGTATTAAGGAACTGGAAAACTTCATTAGAAACAATGAAAAAGTTCTGAACTGTTAACTAATATCAGTCATTTTATATGACAGTAAATGTAGGACAATCTCTTCAACTATGAAGAAGAGACTCGAAGCAGCAAAAATGTGGTTCTACAGAAGAAAGCTGAGAATAAACTTAAAATGTGTCTTGTTAATGTAAATAATACAGAAGATACGGTCATCAGCAAAAAGGGGCAGTCCAAGATATGAACTACAAAATGGAGATACCAAAATCAAGCAAGTACAAAAAGTTAAATATCTGAGAAGTGTAAAAGGACTGTGGCACCTTGCATTATTAGAAATATTCATAGAAATATGATTTAATTTTTTCTTACTCGGTTTACTAAACAGGTTGTTGATTTTTTTTAAAACGGAAAATAATTGAGTTGAAAATAATTCACTAAGATTGTACTTAGACGATCCTAAGGGAAGAAGAGGAAAGAAAAGAAAAAGCAAAAGAGAGAGGTCGAGAAATACAAAAAGCGGTCATTAACAAAAACACGTATCAGAAAGGTAATTAGGCCAACATCTTGGCCGATTTTCGAAAGAACAATGGGATTTGTTATTTAGAAGGGAAAGTCATTTAGAGAGTGGAAGGGACAATGCTTGATAAGAGTGTATTGATAATAAAAAAATCGGTCAAAGCATCTAGCCTACTTTTGCGTAGAAAGACACCTTATCAATTTGGAAAAAGGGAAATTTTTTTAGAACAATGAGAACGAAATCTTAATCAGAGAAAAAGTGTCTTTGGGTTGAGGGGAGTGACCGGTGGAATTGTATACAGATTCTGACCTGTTAAAAATTAGAACCCCCACATTGACGAGTGAAAGATATTTTCAATGTAGATAATTAAGATTTTCTGACTGTCGGGTCTGACAAAGACGGGAGGTGAAGGGGACGATTGTCTCAGTTCACAGATAGCGCCAATATTCTTCCCTGAAGTCACATCTAATTAGCGGCGGGCTGTTTGACAGAGCCCAGGTGAGAGAAAGCCAAGATTGTCATTTTTCGTACGTGCAGAAAAGGCAAAATTGGATTTTGTTTTTTTAAAAACAAGAACGATGTAACCACGCCCGAAAGGAGGAGAAAGGATGCTCGATCAATAACAATTGGTCGGAAACGGTCACGTGATCTGCAGAAAAGAAGAGAAAGAAATGGCCGATCAGGAACCATTGGTCGAAAAACGGTCACCTGACATACGAGAGACTAAGAGATGGATATGCGCCTCCCCACCAAAAGCACTGAGGAAGTAGGGGTGAAAACAATAGCGATAATGAGAAATAAAAAATAATGCGACTTTTGGAATTATCGAGAAAACCCTGACGCCGACAGACCCACCCCAGTTTGTTGCGGCGTCAATAAAAGCAGGACCCCAGTCGACAGAAATCAGTTGGAGTGGAGTTGCAGCTGGACCGCGGGCAGGGATAGAGCCTGAACGCGGGCATCAGGCCCGATTCACTCGCCCCTTTGCGGGCAAAAGAATCCTCAGACAAGAAATCCTTCCAGCCCAAGTCGAAGACAGAAGAGTTCAGACCCGGACGGCAGCGAGAAGAGATCACCTCGGACGACAGAGAGTTGCGGCTGAGTTGCGGCAAGAAATCCTTCCAGCCCAAGTCGAAGACAAGAGAACTTCCAGCCTAAGTCGACGAAGAAGAAGAAATACAACTCAAGTCGAAGAGAAGAATCAACTGCGAATGATCGATAGAAATTAGCCCCAGTGTCGAACCAAACCACACTCCGACATACACAATTCTAAAGAGTAGGCAATTCGAAATCTTTAGGTTGTGTGATAGAAGCTTGGTGCCATAGTCCAGAGAGCGGGTCGGGAATTGAGAACAATTTTGTTTTTATGTAACGGACATTAAGATATAAAGGTTGTTACCCTTTTTTTTCATCAGCAATCTTTTGTCTCGTGAGTTTATTTTCTCTTTTATTTGTGTTTTGCCACCCCGTCGGACTCAACTTGTATCGGCCCCAATCCTGCTGGTCCCGTCTGTCTAAGATCTAAACACAGCGTGGGTAGACAGACCGGAGATCGGTACAGTTGCTTTAGTGACCAGGTATTGGAAGCGAGTCGGGAAAGGCGAGGCTGGTGATCATCTGACCAAGGGGTTGGAGCGGCACGCTTGGACCCAGGAGGAGCGACCAGGAGGAGCGACGTCACCGTTGGCGCCGTAACCAAAGGATCCAACCCTGGGCCAGGTGTGTAACCGTCACAGGACGTAAAAGTTAAATATCTGA